CTGAACTGCGGGAATCAATATAAATTTTCAAGTTATATGTGAATTGAAACTGAGAACGAATTTTTTGTATTTGAATGAATGATTTGATTATAAATAATTATCAGATCAAACCAAGTATAAGTTTGATCAAAAAGTTTTAAAAATAGCAAAAATATATGACAATATTTTTTTCATATTTTTTGGTTTAGTCATTTAGCAAAGCTTAATTTATCTCAAAAAGTATGCTAATTTTCAATTTTGACGATTGTAGCGATGAACATTATCTGAGATTGATAATTAATTTGGCATCTAATCACTGATTTTTTTTTTCACCATTTTCAACTGCAATACACTGATTATTTTGGATAAGTTTTCTATATAGCTTGCGCAAAATGCTAAAAATAAGCCAACAAATGCCTGAAATGATGCAAAAGATCACAAATATGCAAGGGATGATAATATCAAGCATGTAATAGGTCACGAATGATAATTTCCTTCCGTATGGATCAAAATTCGGAATCTGACCAAATTCCGCTGCAAATTCCACGTGCCTAATCAACTGCTCTTTGGCTGGATTTGGTCTCTTCGCCATCATCTCTGATATTCTTTTTGCATTTTGTAAATACCTCAAAAGTTACATTAGATTTTATACGTTTGCTTAGTAAAATTTTGAATAAAATATCAAAATATTACTGCATGAAAATAAAAATCACGTGTAAAAAAATTGAAAATAAGCTTAGATCAGCTTATTTTGCCTGAATTTTCAGCCTAAAAAAAATCAATTTACTTTAATCATTTAAGTCACTTTATTTTTTTTCATTTAGCAAATTTCAAAATTTAGGCCAAAAAGAATAGATTATATAAAATGTACAGTAAATGCTCTGAAACTTTTTATTACGCAAAATATATTAGCATAAGCAACTATTTCTGATTGCTAATTTGGCGAAATCCGATATTCTAAAGTAAAAAATATAAGACAAAAAAATATTAAATTTAATTTTTTCAAATTTTTCAGAAAGAATTTTATGAATTGCACAAATAATGATAAAGTAAATAATACATAGTATTGTAGATAATCTCATGAATTGCTTGACGTAATTTTTGCTTTACAATAAGTTTTGAAAGTTGTAAAAGAATGCCAGTGCGTGAGCGTTGGATTAAAGCTGCGTTCTGTAACTGATCCATAAACAGTGGCACTACAATGACGGGTTTTCCAAAACTTAACGTCTGCATTATGCTGTTCATTCCGCCATGCGTCAAAAATGCCACCAAATTAGGATGTGCTATACAAAATAATCAAATTATTTCTCATACTTTTTTGCAACTGATCTACATTTAACATTTATATTAATTTAAATTTGAAAATATGAAATTATTTTTCATAATAACAAAATAATTAATTACCTAATAAATCAGTTTGTGGAAGCCATTTAGCAGTGATAACATTAGGATATCCTTCAGCAATATTATCTTCTTCTTTTTCATATTTCCAAATAAATATTACTTCAGAAAATTCATTGAAAGTTTGCAGAAGTGCTTGTTTTGTTTCATTAGGCATTAAATAGCTAAATGCAACAGTACCAAATGAAACAAGTATTACTTTTTTATTCTCATTCATGACCTTTGACCACTCCTATAAAATTAAGAAAAAAACTTTTTTTTACAATAAATAAAAAACAAAATTAGTTTTAATATAATTTATTATTTCAAATAAGCATTTTTTTTTGGTTTTTAAAGCATAAATACGCTTATAATATGAATGCATATGCAACTTGCATCACTCAGTGGTTGAGCTTTGGGTATTCCAAGTCCACCAAGTTCTAACACTTTATATATGGTTGGCTTGGGAATATTAAAAAATGGATTGGAACTTTCCAAAACAAATGTTGCTTGTGCAAGCTTTTCCTAAAAATTTAAATATTTATTATAACTGAAATGAATATTGATTTAAAAAAATTTTATTACAAAAATTTTGAAGAAAAATTGTCTATTTTTTATCAAATTATTTTCCGCTAAAAAAACTACTTTTTTAAAATGTTTTCCTTCTTTTTACCTTTAGTAACTAATAATTTTAACTTAATAAATAATCTAAAAATGATAATAATATTTTTTAACAACTTTTTTACTGCAGTCATTTTTTTTTACTACAAAATTTTTTAGTGCTGAAATATTGTACAAATAATTTTTGCAAATAACTTTTTATTATATGGTCAAAGAATACTATTTACTCTGTTTCTACTTTATGATCAAAGAATACTATTTACTATTTTCAAAATTATTTTCAATCAAAAAATTAAAAATTTTATAAATTTTTGCCAAGCAAACAGCACAACACAGTCAATTCTATATTTTTGCAATTTTAGTTAATGATATTTATGAAAGTTTTATTATAATAGAATATTACTTGATAAATAAATTAAAAAATTGTTGAAACTGTAACACTTTCTACAATGAAATATTCAAAAAACTTAAGTAATTTATTATTGTAAAAAACTGCGAAGAAAATTATAAAAAATAGTAAATTAGTCAAAAATTTGTAACTTTTTTTCTTTATTACTAATTTTTTTAGAATACTTTATAACGATTCAAAGTACCTCCAAATCGATAAAATTTTCACCATAAAGTCGCTGGAAAATTTTTTGGTCATTCCTAATTACATGTTTAAACCAACATTTCATAAAAAGCACTGACGCAAAGTTAAACAATCGCTGACTGTACGTCATTTGGTCAGTGAATGGCGTCAACAAACTTGAAATTTGTAATATATATTAAATTACAAAAAAATTTTATAATACATAAAATGCAAATCATTTAGTAAAAATTATTTCGCATACTGAAATTTAGCCGATTTTGAAAATAAATACTGAGAAATGAGAAAGTTAATTACTTCAAACTGAACAGAAAAGGTTATAGTGCGTGTCATTCAAATTAAATATTATTGCAACAGTATTTAATCTCAGATCTAATACTAACAAAAAAACAATTTTATGTAAGTATTTGATGTAATATAGCTTTCAAACAGATAACAATAAAAATTGATAAAATATTCCTTTGAAGTTATCTAAAATCTTTACTTCACAGAATTGTTCTTAAATGTTCAAATGATCTGAAATTAAATTAAATTAATTTTCATTTATTACGATTTTTTATTTCAGTGCAAAAAAAATGCTTCAAATTTATTAATAAGCAATTTAAGACTTATCTGGAACATAACTTGGAACAACTGGCATTCCTAGGAAACTTCCTAAACTGTCCATTAAGCTTACTGCACTGACAGCAACGTAAGCTGGTATTTCGAGTAAT